TCAGTGTCTGGCACACATTAAATGCTCAAAAGTTGTTAACTAATATTATCTCATTTAATTTTCGTCACAGCAAACTCATTCTCCTTTGTTAATTTTATCTCATCTTTTTCTCCTTAGAATGTTCCAGCATTTAGACCTTTGTTTTCTTCTCGTCTGTCTTCATGGCTCTCTCCTAAGCTCTGGCCTCTCCTCTAAACTCCAGACTGCCCATTCAGATGAATGTCTAATGGGCATCTCAAACTGGGATTCCCCTTCTCACTGTCTCCCTGACCTCAGAAAATAGCAAATTCCTTCTTCCAGTTGTTCAGGCCCAAATCATTGGAGTTATCTTGACTTTTCTCTTTCTTATTCATTCTATGTCTGGTCTCTCAGCACATCCTATTATCTCTACTTTTAAAACATATTCAGACTCTCATTACCTGTCCCAACCTCCCAAAATGTCTGAGTCTATTTATGGAGATAATGTCACTCTATTACTCAAAATCCTCCACTGTTCCCCAAGTCACTCAGAGTTAAGCCAGAGTCTACAATGGCCCGCAAGATCTACATGCTCACTGATATCATATATTATCCTTCCCCCATATTTGCTTCACTCCTCTTATTCTTTCTTGCTCACTGCTCCCTTTGCACTTATTGTTTCTTGGAACAATCTTCTCAGTTATGGGCATGGTACATTCCTTTATTTCCTGAAGGAATTCATGCGATTAGCGTTGTCTCAGAGAAGCCTTCTCTGGCCACTCTCCCAATGACTGAAACACTTCTCTTGACCCTTCCTATTCCTATTCTTTCCCTGTTTTGTTTTTCTCCTTAGCACGTCACAATCTGATATATGGTGTGTTTATTCTTTTATCATGTTCCTTGTCTTGTCTCTCTCATTGGACTGTATGTTCCTTGTGGGCAAAGTTTTCTAAAATTTTATTTTCTCTGCCCTGAAGCATCTACCTAGAATGGTGTCTGACACATACTAGCACTCAAAAAATATTTGTTAAATGAATAAATAAAATGTTAGCTGTTATTAGTTATAATCTCAAGAATAAAGTCAAGATGAAAAAGAATAGTAGAAGATAAGAAAATTTATACCCATACAATTACAAGTTACGGTAGATTTGTTTCTGAAAAATGTGTCAAACTGAATGTTTATAACTCAAAATATTTAAAGTGTGCTAGCAACATTTCTGCTTCAAAGAATCTATGATTGATCCTCTGTATAAAAGAAAAGATTTTTTAAAATAATTTAAATAAATTTTCCCTAATATAATTCTTATAAGTTAGATATTTTATTTGTCAAGTTTTCTTACTTCAAAATGTGCTTATCTGTTTTAAAACAGAAAACAAGCAGCCTCTGAACTTTATAATAGACAGTTTTAATTCTAAAATAAATTAGCAAGAAACCTAATGGAAACTCTGAAAAACGTTGGTAAGACAAGCTGCTCTACATAGTTCTAGCCTCCCAACACCCCTCACACATACCCACAAAAACCAGTGTAAACCATAAACAACCTGACGTATTTTTAAAGGTCCCCCTAGGGGGCAGTATTGCCCCCGTCGAGAATCACTGCTCCATGGATAGGGTACAACTGTGAGATGCATCCTGTCCCTCCTCTTCTGTTTTGGAGCTCAGCTCCTCTGAAGGTAGTACAAGATGGAGGAAGAGGTAAAAGGCAAATGTCTTCTACGGCAGCACGCTTCTCCCCTGGGTTAGCGGTAACTGCTACCTTAGCTTGTTGGTCTATAAGTTTTCAGTCCTCACTGAAGATGAGGGTGCAGATGCCTAGTAATAGGGCCAATAATCTGATCTAGGCCGACTTGGGACTTTCACAGAGAAGTGGCCCATCTCGAAAGCTTAGAAATAAGCAGCCCATGTAGCCGAGTAGGAATGGGTAGTGGGGAGTTGAGGGGATACTTTTTTTCTATGTAATTCTGGAGTATGGAAAAACAAATCTACTCTTTTACACTAGTTTGAAGGAGGGTAATTGAAAGAAATGTGCTGGAGTGGTAAATGCCCCAAGCCGGAAAACCAACACTGGAACACCAGATAACTCCAGCTCTGTCACCACCCATTGTGTGATTTGAGACATTTTAATTCTCTGGACCACCTTTGCTTCATATGTAAAATGGGATAGAGAGTAAATTAAATGATGTTTGAATCCTTCTAAACTCTTGACCTCAATACAACTCTGAGCATTTGGACTTTTCATGTGGTCAATATACACTTCCTTTCTCTGTAGGTCTGGGTGTCCTTAAGGGAGATGAGGGTTTTGATCCTCGCTCTTTAAATTTTTTCATGCAAGACTTGTGTCATTGAATTTGGCCAGCATTCTTGAAACTTCTAGGATTCACCTCCACCAAATGAAGTATGTTTTGCTGAAAATATTATTAAACATGGTGAATCACAGCATTTTAAAGTTAAGAAATAATTAGTTAATAAAGTGAAGTTAGATACCTTGCACCATTCTCTATGTCTAGGTAAATATTAATGACAAAAGTTGCAAGTGATTTATCACTAATTCATGATTCTCTTCTGTATATTGAACAATACACAGAACAATAAGCAGTAGTAAGGATATAAAAGTTAAAGAAAGATATGGACACTCTTGTAAAGGTCCTTACAATCCATATTGTCTTAGATTTCTTAGAGGCAGAGCAAAGACAAGGATCTTTGTCCTAATGATTTATCAAGGGTGAGCTCTCAGGAGAAACTTCTGAAGGAAGGAGGGAAGCAGGATGAAGCAGAAGAAGTTAGGCAAATGTGTGGTTTCAGAAGTCTAGCTTTATCTTGAACCAATGGGGATCTCTGGAAGGTTTTCGATTACACCAAGGTTTTTCAGCCCAGGGGCAAGTGGTCTGGGCTATTAGGATCCCACTTCAACCAGCCATTTGCTACAGGTAATCTACAGAGATCAGTTGGAGCATAATCTCTCAGACATCACTAGTTGAAGTGGTTCCCATCAGCCAAGGACAAACTTATGCAGAAGGTTTGCCCTTGGCAATCAACACTTGTGCTGCTGAGAGGATGAATACCCGCTCTGGACAGGGGGATTTGGGTAGGGCACCAAGAGTATCTACTACAGATATTAAAGGGGAGAAATCATATCCACATGATATCCTTTAAGAGCACTTACAAAGCCACCTATCAGAAAGTGACATATAAGGCAGCACAGTCTGAAAGTCCAGGGGTACAGAGTAAGTGAGAATAACCCAGCTAATGTGTACTGCTTGCTCTGTGCAACGCACTGTTTTGCAATCTTTATTCCTCTCAAGGAATCTGCAATGTAGGTAATATTGCTCCTATTTCCTAGTAAACTGAGACACAGAGAGATTAAGTAACTTGGTCAGGGTCACACAGCTAGCAAGTGCCAGTAGATGACCATTTCATTGGCAGTAATGGGGTAGGGCTTCTCTGGAACAGAGAAAATGAAATTCTAAGCTCTACCCCAAATCAAAACCTCTTTGATTGGGCTCATATTTCAACAACTTCCTAAAGTGATTCTTATACACATTGGAGTGTCAGAGCCATTGCCAAGTGGAATAAGTTTTCCAAGACAGAGAAAAGTTGTGCAAAGGACAATGTGAACAGGTAAAAATGATCAGCAGAAAATAGATATGGTTGTGAATTTTTGTAGAGCATCTGAAAGGAGTGAGAAAGAAGATGAGAATAGCTCTAGAATATCAAACAAGAATTACACAGGAAGAATTGTTGTCACATTGTTTTTTAAAATAAGAACGGAATAGCAAAAATGAAAAGTATAGGAAACATTGGCTTTGGGTACCCATAGGGTGTTCTTTTATACTTCTGTGCTGGCCTGTATAGGCATTTATTCCTAAAAATATGCTAAACTTCCTCTTTTTCAGAGAAGAACAGGATATCATAAAATTGGGAAGATAAATAATATTTCCTCAAAGGTTTTGGGAATGAAAACGTTAATATGAATATAGAGAAATAAGTTAATTGCTGGTATATGATCAGAGTATTTTTATGTAGATGTATGATAAGTTGTTCTCTGAAATAGCAAGGGACTTGAATATGATTAATTTCATAAAATGTCATTATAAAAATTAGACCAGAGAGACAAAAGAGAAAAAAGGGGATCAAAAAAGTAGAGATTATAAACATGATGCCACTTGGCTATAATGAAATATTTTCCAGGAAATTTCATATGAATACCACCAGGTACTGTGCCATCTTTCCCATTGCCCACTGATCTTATTAAGGAGAAGCAATTGTTAAGAGTGCAGGAGAATCTATACTTTTATAATGTACATTGGTAGATCAGGCTCACCATGTCTCCTTTAACCCACTACATTTGAGCATCACTGATAGCCAGTTCGCTGAGTTATATACAAATTACAGGTATTGTTTGGAAAAACACTTTGAAGAATATGCTAGTAATTTCTGATGAACAAAGTTATTTGTTTGCTGTTTTTCCATCTAATCGGTGCATATTTCAATCCATTACTTATAAAGAATTTATAATGACACCTTTTGTGTGTTTCCCTGTTAATACCAGATTAAATACTCTAGCAATTTAGAGGATTAATAGGCAGTCCTCAAAATGACCTCAAACTAACTTAAATGGCATAAATCATATGGTGGAGGGGTTTGGAGTTGGAGATGAAGGTTAGAAATCCAAAGTTTTACATAACAAAAAAAAATAAAATAAAATAAACAGGAAAAGGAGGAGCTTTGGGTATTTAAGATTATCTACTGACTAAACTGACCTCCCCCATAAACCTAGCAGGTGTTTTGAGTCAAGTGCTTGGTTTAATCATATTAGTGAAGATTATAAAGAAGCTTTAAAATCCCAAGGCTAATGATCAATGCTGAAATTTTTCAGAGAGTATTTGTAAGAAATCGGTTATCATAGGAAGTTAAAACAAACACACAAGAAAGAAACAGTTCACTTAGTAAGTTCTGAGCTGAGGAAAGTGTTGGCTATCGTTGACTTGAAGCCAAGTCCAGGAATTTTGGTGTGCGAACTAATTTTCTACCTTTTCATCAGGCAAAAGATGCCCGTGATCAATATTGAAGATCTGACAGAAAAGGACAAATTGAAAATGGAAGTTGACCAGCTCAAAAAAGAAGTGACACTGGAAAGAATGCTGGTAAACTGCTGCTTTCTTTTGAATTTTATTTTAAACTAGAGATATTGTAGGATTTACCAGATTAGGAACAATTGAAAGGATGCAGAATTTGCTACCTCAAAATATGCCTCTTTGACATAAGAATTATTTTAGGCTGATTATTTTTAAGATACACCAGATGCTGGAGAAGCTCTGAAAACCAAGCAGGAGTTAAAGAGATACTTATGTTTATAAGGGAAATCTCTATTTGTGAGGGTGTCTCCCTCTCTGTACCAGGAAGAGAATGACTAAATCTCTAGAAACTCTTATCAGTGGGAAAGGCAAAGGACTAAAATTTGCTTACCAGCCTTACCATTGTTCTCTGTGATTTGCCTGGGAACCTCTCATAAATGTCCCTCACCCCCTTCCCATCTTTCTTTTGTGTTTCCCTGGTGGTGGTTTTTAAGGAGTGTCCTGAGTCTTTTCGAGGAGTTTTTTAGGTTTCCTCGTTATCTCGTATGTATAGAGAAGATATATATGTTTTAAAATTTCTGTTTGTTTTTCTCCTGTTAATCTGCTCTTTTATTACAAAGGGTTCTCAGCCAAGAACCTAGAAAAGTAGAGGGAAAATTATTTTTCCTGCTCCACACCATTCACAGGAGAGACTCAATGTAGTTAAAAATAAAATTTTCAGGTAAAAATTCATCAGCGATTAAGAAAATTAATAATCATAATTGTCTCTTGAGGTAGAATCTAAGTCAAAGGTTTAACAAACTATTTGCCATGGGCCAAATCTAACCTTTAGCCTGTTTTTGTTTGATCATTAAACTAAAAATGTTTTTACATTTTTAGAGTTGTTTAAAAGGAAAAAAAGAAAAATAAAAGATAGAATATGAGACAGAGACCATGTTATTGCTAAGCAATAAAATGAGGCAATATATATAGGCATTTTGTTTTTACCTTTCTAAACTGATAAACTTTTCTTTATTTAATACAATACTTTGATATTGTTCAAATACTTTTAGCCAAGACCTCACCCGCTCCAGCACTGTCACGGCCAGTAATGAATGAGTACATTCTATCCCTTCTTTGCAAATAAAAATGAGTTCAAGTAGAAGAACTCACTGGTTCCTCTTAAAAACATCTGACAGTTCTTGGAAATGATTACCAAGAGTTCTTTGTCATTGGAAAGAGAAGAAATGGCAAAGGAATAAATGTTTCTACCGAACAAACACTGACTGAAACTTGGGAAACATAGATAAGTATTTTAGATTTTTTTTTGTTTAGAAGAGTTAGTAGAAACAAAATTTCCTTCACCAGTGATAAAAGTATATTTAAAAAAATTTTTTTTAATCTCATTTTATCTGGCCAAAGCAAAAAAGGGAGTTTGTATTATCTTCATACTTTGCTAAAAAGTCTTACTCCCAATAAAAATAGGAATTTTGGCTTCTTTTATGTTTATAATTGTCTCAAACTTCCCGTTCCCCTTTTCCATATAGGCAAAACATGTTTTACTATAAAGATAAAATATAAATTTATAAATAGCAAAAAAGCTAAGACCACATAACCACAAAAGTTTAAATCTTTAGAATTTGTGGAAAATAAAATATAACTGTGGGATAAAGGAGAGTTATTTTTTCTTCTTGAAACATCTAAAAAATTGTTTTTATGATTTATATTCTCAGGATTGTTGTTTTGTGGGCAATTTGGTTATCTTCATGTGTTTATTATTTACTTGTGGCAAGTTCACCTGTTAATTTTTACCTTGGGTAAACATTATATATGTTACCATCTTTCAGGTTTTTGGGTTTCTTTTCCCTATTACTCAACATCTCCTTGCTCTGGGAAGTCAAACTAAATTAATCTCAGACTCTGGAATCGTATCTCTGCTATAGAATCTGGCTCCACAATCTTCTCCACATGTAACACTCATATAAGTTATCTAACTTACCTGTGCCTGTTTCCTCTTCTCTAAAACAGGCATAGTAACATCTAATGCAGAAGGCAATTGGGAGAAATAAATAGATAATATATACGAAGCTCTAAGAACGATGTCTAGCACATAGCAAGTGCTTTGTACCATTATTTTTTAAAAATGTTATTAATATCTATGAACCAGACTGGTTCATAATATGTCTCAATTTATTTTGCTGTCAAGGCAGTATTATTGTCAGAGTAAAACATCTCTTTGCATGCAGTCTCTAAAGCTGGTAGATAGATTTGCAATGACTAGAAGTCAATGTAATAGGCAAAGACAAAGATAATCGTTGGAATAATAGCTAAAAATAGCTACGATTCAATTGAGCGTATTTGTATGTAAGACACTTAATTCAGCCAGTGTTGCTCTTGCTATTTCACAGATGAAGCAACTAAACCTTAGATGAGCTATCTTAACTAAGACATAACTGGTCAGTGGGCAGAGCCAAAATTCAAACCTGGAGTGTCCTGAATCCACTGTTGATGCTTTCCACCATGTCATGTAATCCTGAATGAAACTATGCACACTGATATTTACATGTGTATAGAATATACATTAATAGGCTCTGGCTGAGTCCCTTAAAATACTAAAACCTGATTTTTCACTAAGTCATTACTATAATGGTATAGACGAGTGAGCAAGTATTTATTACTGAGCACCAACTAAATGCAGGCTCTGTTCTAGATGCCTGGGATACCTGTGTACAAATCAGCCAAAGGTCCCTGACCCTCTGGCGCTCACCTTCTATGCACTATCACAATCAATCACTGTAGTCGAGTTTAAAATAAAATTACATGTGTATACTACTGAGAATCCAGGAGTGGTGATAAGCCTGGAATTTAACAATTATTCATTCTCTTCCACCTTTACAGGTCACATTTTTGGAATGAGGAAAAAGATTTAATTAATGTTCCCTCTGGTGATATTCTTGACTTGTGTTGCCAGCTGTGTTTTGATCCCTGGATCCTGTCTCCTTTTAAGAAGCTGGAGGCAGTATCTACTGAGAACTCTTAGCTGGAGTGTGGCCAACTGTTTATCCTTTGCCTGGAGATATCCAGGAGGACAGGGGAGGGAACGGCTATTTTTTCTTTTCTCCTAGAAAGTACACATGCATTGGCAGAAATCAGAATCACGTTAAAAATATAGAACACAAAAAATTATTATAATAAATACATTCTTGGATTCTGAAGTTTCTATATTAAACCAAATGAGTCATCTCTTTCTCCTTTCCTTTAAGGTATCCAAATGTTGTGAAGAAGTAAGGGATTACGTTGAAGAAAGATCTGGGGAGGATCCACTAGTAAAGGGTGTCCCTGAGGACAAAAATCCTTTCAAAGAGCTCAAAGGAGGCTGCGTGATTTCATAAGAAAAAAAAAAAAATCCTTGGAATATCTTGAGCTTTAATGACAATATTAACTTTTGGTCATATGTAATAATACTATTGAGCATGTACATGAGTTTTTAAATTTATAAATACAAACTTTAAATGAAAATTGGAATGTGATAATGCGTGTCTGCTTTTTATTAAAGGATTTAGCACAGGATTTTAACACATAATTGATAATAAATATTGATTGGCCCCTTTCTCTAAGAATAATTGCTATGTTTTATGAATAAGTCTATATTATTTTGCTTGCCAGAATATAGTTAATATTTGACGTTTCTCCACTTCCCTTCCAATACTCATAGTATTCTACCTGGAAATTTCATGGTTAGACTTATATTTTCCCCAACTTTTGTCTTACTTATAGATTAGGAAGTTTATTCTTTTAAATCATGGAAGACCTGTCTTAGCAAAATATGTGCTGTGAAGATTTTTGTTACTGACGTTTTGTTTTGTTTCCTTTTCACTCTTAACTCCCAGTCAGTGGTGATGGTTTTAACATAACCTCTTCCTACATTCTTACTCATCTACTTGTCACCAATAATGTGAACTTTTCTCAGAATGCCAGCTGGATTAGGATTCAGTCTATGGTCGCAGAGCACAATGGATTTAACCAACACCAGAATAAAGGTTCTGAGGAGCTAGAGAGTTCTGGCTTTGGCACTTTATTGCCTGACTTCAGACAAATTACTTAATGTTTCTAAATCTTAGTTACTGTAGAATCGGGGTAATAATAACTCTGTTTCCTGTTTTGTGGGAATTAAATATTATATAAAGGTGATTATGGCACTTAGCATATTGCCTGGCACATAGTAAGGATCTTATAAATATTAATTAGTATTATTACTGGGAAAGGAACTGTACAAAATATCGAGAATCATTTAATAAGACACATACTATTCTACCCCATCCCCATGATGATTCTTACCAGTACAGTCCTTTTTTTCTGTAGCAGTTTAAAGGCAAGATAGAAAAATAGTTACCTGTATTGTCCTGCTAATCAGTATCTTCCTGGCATCTTATTGAGTTTGTGTAAGCCAGATTTCACTATCTTTGTGCTAATAACCAGGAGATAACTTGCCTCTGCTTCTATAAGAAGTAACAAATGTTAGTTATCCCAACTTGAGAACTATTTTTGTTGTTAGTGTCTTCTTGTTGCTCTCTCACATTCACAGTACAAATTTTGGATATATTAGTGATTAGAAATGCTAATTGATTGTGATCCCTTTAAAAACAAAATAAGAGTTATCTATTATTTGATCTGGAAGACAGTCTAAAGGTCATCCCAAGTTTGGCTCCTGGCACAGTGCCCTCCCACCCCGGCCAGAGTAAGTAAGTGCTCATAAAGATCCACTGACTCTTGTCTAACCCCTTGTCTAACCCCCGTTTTGAGAAAATCAAGGCTCAGAAGTGAATTGGCAAATTTCTCAGGTCTGGACTCTGGATCTCTGGCTGAATGGTTAGCAACACAGTCTACCACATACCAAATGTGCGTTGGGTTTTAAGGGGTTCCAAGACACACTACTGGAATCTCTTAGTTCTTTTTCCTCAGAAGCTGATTTCTCCCTGTTTAAAATTACAAAAACCCTCTCCAACCATCCCCAGCTCTTCCTATCTCCTTTTCCCACTCTATTTTCCTCCACAGTACCTATCGCCGTCTAGCATAATATGTATTTTATTTGTTTGTTTGTTTAATTGTGGTCTGTCTCCAGGGGTTTTCCATGTGCAATTTAGTGTTTATTAAGTGTTCCATATATCATTTTGTTTCTGATTAGAAAAAAATTACAAAATCTTGGCTATGGAATTTAATAACGTGTAGTCTTGACCAACATCCCTAGCTTTCATCTAACAACTGGAAATAGATTTTGGAGTCAGACAATTCTGTCTTTTTTTTTTTTTTTT